TTGATTTTCCAGGTCTGAAGCCACACTGACAAGGTCCAATCAGTTTGTTGACGGTGGGCTTTAATCTTTCATACAATACGCTCGATATGCGATATTGAGGAGGCTTATCCCGCGGTAGTTGGCGCAGATTGTGGGGTCTAGTTTTTTGAGGATTGGGCATAGCACACTTAAGTTCCAAACGTTGGACATGCTTTCGTCCGACCATATTTTACAAAGAAGCTGGTGCATGCTCCTTATCAGTTCTTCGCCGCCGTGTTTGAATAGCTCGGCCGGCAATCCATCGGCACCCGCCGCTTTGTAGTTCTTCAGGCGGTTAATTGCTATTAGAACTCTTCCTGGTCGGGCAATGGAACGTCTAGATCACCTTTGGGGGTTCTACAAGAGGATGCTCCGGTCTTGAAACCTTCTGTAAGCCGCCGCATTTTTTCGTAGAATTTTCGAGCATTACCCCTATCGGCCAGCTTATCAAGCTCTTTATACTCACGCATTTCGGCCTCTTTCTTTTTCTGTCTGCAAATGCGTCTCGCTTCCCTCTTCAGCTCCTCTTTCTTATTTTATAGTGGATTTTAACTAAAGTTTGATATGGAACTAAAGTTATTTTTGCACTATATAATATATAATAAATGATTAGAAACGAATTAGTGTAATGTAACATCCTTTTATCCAAAACTCATTTTGTAAATATAATAATATATATGTATATCGTCATCTAAAATACAAAACAATGTATCGTCAAACATTAATTATCGCTGACAGATATAACACCCAAAATTTTAACCATTTTATAAATAAAACTTAAATTCTGTTTCAATATGAGTGCATGACAATCAAAAAATATAACCACTTTATTATAAAAAATCAATTTTTTTTTTTATTTTTAACGCAGAACGGAGTACTACGCAAAAGTACTACAGTCAAAATCAATTTTAAAAATAAAAATAATGCGTTTCCGAGGCCTTAAAACAGTTTTTATAAAAAAAAAAGAAAATTCAAACATCTCCATGTCAACTATTAACAGCTCCGAGCTCCTGAAGGAAGCTTCGAGAATAGGGCCATTCAATGGAAGTGATGGTTACTACCTATCCTCATTTATAAGAGAAGTGGATACCATACTCCTCCTCTTTAACGATAACCCATCGTTAACGGAATTTGTTTTTCAACGCAACGTACTAACGAAAATAAATGGAGACGCCCTAAAGGTAGTCCGAACTTTAGGAAGCACACCGATGTGGGACGACGTAAAGGAGGAACTCATCCGGAACTTCTGGGTAAAGGAGAGCTACAAGAGTCTGTACCACCAGGCAATCAACGTTAAGCACTACAATGTAAGTGAATATTTTGTGAAATTAAGGGATATTTTAGATAAAACTAATATTAAGTACGAATTTGCATTTTCACTGGAAGCCAACGAGGTATTTTTCTAAAAACCTTCTTAAACGGAATTAGTCCTCATTTGTCCTCCATAAGTTTGAGTAGGGATATTAGAAAACTAAGGGAAGCCTTTTATTACTTAGAGGATACTGGATTAATCCAGCAAAATAAAAATAAATGTAGTAACTATGCGCAGCATTATTACCCCTCACAAAATAATTACGATTCAAACAATAGGGTACATGCTAGTAATCCTCAGCCTTCTTTTCCAACGCAACAACGTTTTTGGGGAAATAATAGTAGAATGAATAATAATAATAACCCACAACAAGCATCACGAAATAGCTATTCACAACAGAGTAGGAATAGCAATAGAAGTCAAAAGCCTGTGCCCATGGAAGTAGACCATATGGATTACAATCAGGGCCAAAATTTTCGGTCACCAGCCCGGGGCAGGAGCTACCAATAATAGAACTAACTATAGGTAGAAATATATTGAAGTGTTTAATCGACACCGGTTCAACAACTTCAGTTTTAAATAGTAAAGTAGATTTAGGATTTAGGAAAAATAAATTAGAAAATCCCATTAAATTAAAAACAATGAGTGGTGAATTTTTCATTACTGAAGGAGTGAAAACTCCCTTGCCTACGGAATTCAATAGTGAAAACTTCGAGCATTGGCATTTAACACAATCTTTTAATAGAAAATTCGACTGCTTAATAGGACAGAATATTTTGAGACCATTTGAATTTAATTTTGAAAAAAATTACATTTATATTAATGGCAATAAAATTCAATTTTTAAATCCATGCCCGTTTGTTAAGGAAGAAATTCATTCAATTGAACCCATTGAGAAAGACTTTTCAATCCTCGAAAGGCCCGATATGAATACTATAGAAAGGAAAATGTTAAAGCAAATACTACGGAAAAATAATGACCTTATATTTAGAGAAAATGAACAGBTAAYYCATGCTCATGAAGTACAACATGAAATCGTTACAACAACTGAAAAGCCTGTATATTCAAAAATTTATAAATACCCTCAAATACACGAGGAGGAGATAACCAAACAAATTAAAGAAATGCTGGACCAGGGAATTATTAAAGAAAGCTGCTCCCCATACAATTCATCACTTTGGATTGTCTCAAAGAATATGGATAATTCTGGTAAAAAGAAATGGAGAATAGTAATAGATTATAGAGCTCTAAATGAAATAAATATATCCGATAAATTCCCGATTCCAAATACAGATAGCATATCTGGAAAATTAGGTCAAGCAGCATATTTTACGACAATTGATCTAGCCAAAAACTGCACTTTCTGCACCGTTAGGTTATTATGAATTCATAAGAATGCCATTTGGTCCAAAGAACGGCCCAGCCACTGGATGACATTCTCTTATTTAGTTCCTCTCTTCAAGAACACAAGGAAAGTATAGAAAAAGTTTTTAAAAAATTAAGAGAACACTGTTTAAAAATCGATAAATCGATAAATGCAATTTTTTTGCTAAGACTACTGAATATCTTGGTTACATTTTAACTACAGAAGGATTTAAACCGAATCCTAATCAAATAGAAGCAATTCAAAAATTAAAGCTTCCTGAAACAGTGAAGCAAATTAAATCTTTCTTAGGAGGAACAGGATATTATAGGAAATTCATTAAAGATTACGCTAAAGTTGCGATTGGCATGACAAAAGAAAAAGTTCGTATTAATATTAAAGATCAACAATTTATAGCCGCGTTTTATACACAAAAAGACTTTTAGTTAACGATCCAATATTAAAATATCCCATTTTCGAAAATAAATTTAAAGTTGTAACTGATGCTAGCAATTTTGCAATTGGTGGCGTATTAATGCAAGATGGGCATCCCATTTGCTATACTAGCAGGACACTTAATGAACACGAGAAGAAATATAGTACAACAGAAAAGGAGCTCTTAGCCATCGTTTGGGCAGTTAATTATTTTAGGCCCTACATTTATGGTAGGCAATTCGATATTTTAACAGATCATTTACCCCTTAAGTGGTTACAAACAAAATATTAAGGAAAAGACATAAATCCTCGACTATAAATGTGGCTTCTGAAACTTGGAGAAAACGATATATGTATTCTATATATAAAAGGTAAAGAAAATACATTGGCCGACTTTCTTAGCAGATTAGATGTAGATTCTGGAGAAATCTGCCTCATWAATCAAACTTCTGAAGAAGATGATAACATGAGTACAGCAGCTACAATTCACTCTCAAGTAGAAGAATKAAATGACCATATCCCTACACTTGAATCTGTCATCAATCGTTTTCAGACTCAAATTATTTTATGTGAACATAAAGTAAGAGACACTGAAAAAATAG